GGTATGAATCCACCAGGATCCATGCCAAGCCCGTTTGGGGGAGGAGGGACGTTTTGCGGGTGGCCGCGTGGGGGAACATGATCATTGTTGATCATTCCTCCACCAACACCACCGCTCATCGGAGCCATATAGGGCCTGGCCTCCGGGATATTTTGTGGACCCCCACCGTGAAACAGCGGTGGTTCAACCCGAGTGTTAGCAGCAGTGCTAGTCTCACCAATATTAACTCGCGGAGTTGGTGGGTTTACCACCGGTGTCGGTGGAACTCCTTGTCTTGGCGGACTATTTCGAGCACTGTTGTTTGGAAAACCAGTTTCGCTGTTTGGATTGTTTTCACCGTTTAACGGCAAATCCCTAGATTGCATTACTGGTCTACCCAAAAGCTCTCTGATTTCATTCATATCACGTAGATTTTTATCCACAAAAACATCAAAATCATGTCTGTTTTAAGTCACAACTTCAAAGAGTTGGCTTAAACGCCTATCAACACGAGACTCAAGAGAATCATGTCGTGCAGTTAAAGCGTCAAAACGTTGATTTACCTCGCCCTTGAAGCTTTCAAACTCGCCTTTGAAGCCTGCGAACTCATTTTTTAGGCTAGCAAACATGAGACGGGTCTCCTCCATGAAATGGCGGATTGACAAACCCTCAGTCGGCCCAGCTGTGGACGGCGGATTCTCAGAACCGCCGATGTCTTCAGCACCGACTCCTTGGCCTCCTTCAATGTTGGCCACTTGTTCCTCCACGAATCCGGGCGGAACATCCCCTTCCTGATTCATTCGTCGCGGAGCCATTCGAACACACGGGTCCCACCAGGTGTGCCAATTTGTTTCCTTTGCGAAACTTACGCGTTCAATGCGCTCTGTTTTCAAGGAAACAAAAACACAAAGTCAATACTGCCTTGGCTCACAGTTCTTGAAGGTACGGACTGCCCACGACTGCTTCTCGCACCTCGTCCCAAAATGCTGATGAGGGAGTAGTCATAGAGTGAAGCACAACCCCTCCCACACTTTGAGACAGCCCATCCGTGGCCTTATTGGCCAATCATATCCTAACAGCTTGACCACCCACTTCTGTTGACTGGGACTACTGATCCGTTGGTCCAACATGTGACGGAGTGTTTCGTTGGCGAAACTCGCGCGTTCAATGCGCTCTGTTTTCAAGAAAACAAAAACACAAAGTCAACACAACCTTCAAATATCCGCCGCCGAATGTCGGCGCCGTTGATTTGATCGATTAAAACAGAAACCAAGACGACCGTCAAATATCCACCGCCGGCGTCGGCGATGTTGATTTGATCGATACACCTTTTACTTCTAATCAAACAACCGTTATTCGGTTCACCACCTCTCCAAACTAAGTTCGAACGAGGGTGTTCGGCGAATAACCAAAAAATCGAACCAGGAGTGTTCTAAGTTACGTTACCTCTACTCCTATGGAGGTTCCTCTGGAGAGCTCCGCAACTATGACTACAAGCTACGATCTACGACTCTGCAAAGGAGATTTTTGATAGAGCGGTTCTACGAAACTAGAGATAAAAACTGATAATTCTGCGATGGTGCAGTTTGAGATTTGATTTTGCCCTCCTTCGCTTCTCTCTCTTCCCAATCTTTATACTTCGCGTTTCTCCTCGTCGTAGTAACTGCCTTCGCACCTTTGTCTCCCACGTCTTCACTCCTATCCACCGTGCAGGTAACTTCCTCCTTGTTGCGTGATAATCACGTGCCCTCGAAACCGCTCTTGCTTTGCAGAAACTTGGCGAAACGACCTACAACCTTGTCCATGTAACAATGTTGTTTCACCAATACCACGGCATCGCCTTTCATCAACCGATGCCGTTTTATAATCCAACTCAACTGCACAGACCCGGTTTAACGAACGACATTGTTGTTCGTCAAACAACGTCGTTCTCTATTCTTGCGCCGTCGTTGGGCTTGGCGGGCCGCCTTTGGCCGAACTCTTACCCACTACCGAGTTGTCGTTTTACTTTTTTCGCGGCATCGCTCTTCCTTAAACGATACCGTCTAAAGTAATCACAAATACTAATTAATTAAACCAACCCACATTGTTAACTCGCCGTCAAACTCTCACCCCTCGGCACCGTTCTTAGTTAAACAACATCGTTTCCTTGTCTCACGATGTCGTTGAGCTTTTGAGCTTAGCGACTTTGTTTTAATTTTAACACTGTCGTTTTAACTGTTGCGGCATCGTTTGGCCTACTCGTGGTATTGCTTTATAATCAGCGGTGTCGTTTCTTTCCTCTTGCGGCATCGTTTGCAACTAAATGACACCGTCCTAAATAATTATTAACAATATTAGTTAATTAATCCGGCCATCACTAGTCAAACTCGTGTGCTGACCAACGACATCATTAGCGCCAAAACGGCTCTGTCTGTCTTTCCCTTCGCGACATTGTTTTTTATTTAAACACTGTTGTTTGCTAATCCGTGGTACCGTTGGGCTTACTCGCGGTACCGTTTTTAATTAAACGACACCGCTGGCACAACCAAAAAATACAAGTTCCTTGAACGGCCGCGCGTTTACACTCACTCGCATTGGGCTGGGCGGATTTTGGTCACTTACCCGATATGGTTTTTTGATTAATCGGTACCGCTTATTGCTCTGGCGGCATCGCTTTTAAATCCGCGGTACCGCTTATCTCCATGCGGAACCGATTTTCCCCATCCGACAAGGAGTAAAAATAATAATAATTAGAATTAAAAATTCCTTTTTTCAACCCCCAACCAACCGCGCTGCCCCCTTTTGTTTTTTGGCCAACAATGTCGTTTCCAGTGTCGCGGTACCGCTGGACTTCCTTGCGGTACCATTTTTCTGTTTCGCGGTATCGTTTCAACTCCCCGCGACACCGCTTTTTACCCTCGGTATCGGATTAAATGCCGAGACTAATTAATGCGGCATTTAATTCCGGCCAAATTAATTTTAGGTGTCAACACAGAGGCTTTGCTGATCAATATAAATATGAAAAGTTTGCCCCATCATTTCTTTTTGATACGTCGACCACGCTTCTTTGGCGGGACCCAGTTTTCGACTCATGTAAGCCACTGGATGCCCACGTTGGGAGAGAACTGTGCCTACACCCTTTCCCAATGCATCCGCCTCGATGACAGTAACGATGCGCGACCGTAGCCACTCCACCATGGCTCTAATCTTCACGTTATCAACCTGAACCCCTACCGGCGATATAATGTGGCCGAGATACTCCAATTTTTGAAGTCCAAAGGTGCACTTGGCCTGCTTGAGGTAGTATTGATGTTGGCGAAGCAACTCGAGTATCCTCTGAATCCTGGCTATAAATCAAGATATCGTCAAAAAAGACCACACAGACTTACAAAGTAAGGGCCGAAAAACCTCATTCATGGTCGTCAAAAAAGTGGACGGGGCGTTAGAAAGTCCATATAGCATGACGACATATTCATAATGCAAGCTATGGGTGCAAAAAGCGGTCTTGGCAATGTCCTCTTCGTGCATACGGATAAGATGATACCCTGCTCGCATATCGATCTTCGATAAATACCTGGCCCTATGTTGTTCAAGCATATCATTGATTGTGGGAATCGGGAAACAATCTTTGGTCGTTGCCTTATTGAGGGCCCTGTAATCCGTACAAAAGTTCCAGGTCCCATCCGGCTCAAGATAGATTGAGTAACTTTAGGGTGAATAACAATGAGTAACCAAATCTGGACCCTTCTTTTAAGTGGCTGCAGATCTAAGGGTGGAGAATTAAAAGAATTTATTTTCCCTAGTTTTCTTAATTGGATCATATCTTCTTCATTCTAACTCGGATTTCAATTTTTTTGCACAGATGGAACGAGTTCGTTGTGCTCTACAAAATGATGTCCATTTTCAATATTTTTTGAGAAAAAAAAATTTTCATCCCTCTCGTTACCAACTCCATACCATATGGTATCTCCTTCGTTGTTTAGTCATTTTTGGAAATTTTTGCACAAAAGGAACGATTTAATCATGATCTATTGGATTTCAAAATTTTCTATGGAAAAAAATTCCATACCTCTCGTTACCAACTTTATATTATACTATACCATCATGGTATGAGGTGGTATTTTTCATACCATATGGTATGCTGTTATTTAATACCAGTCAATACCATATGGTATTGACTGGTAATAACTGGCAAATTTTTTTTGTTCAAAAAAAGATCAAAGTGGATATCATTTTGAATCGTTACCAACTCCATACCATACTATACCACCCTGGTATGAGGTGGTATTTTTCATACCATATGGTATGTTGTTATTTAATACCAGTCTGACTATACCATATGGTATTGACTGGTAATAACTGGCAAATTTTTTTTGTTCCAACAAATATCAAAGTGGATATTATTTTGAAGAGCACAATTAATCTGATCTAACTGTGCAAAAAAAATTAAATTCCGAGTTAAAACGAGTGAGAAATCGTCCGTTAAAAATTAAGGAAAGAAAATTAATGATTTTTCCAGGAGAGAGAAGGAGGCGCTGATGTGGCAGATTCTTATTGGGTTATGCATGGGGTAACTCACCACAAGGTTACTCACCGGATCTGCTCTCGTCCCATCCTTCTTTTTCACCAGCAGGACCAGCGAGGAATACGGGCTCAAACTCTTCCGAATGAGTCCCGATTTCCTCCTTATGGAAGTGGTCATAGATGTAAGGTCGCACGTTGGTCGCTTTCGTGCCTTCCCGGAGATTGATCTGATAGTCCACATTCCTTAACGGTGGTAGACTAGTCGGAGCTTGGAACAACTCCTCGAACTAAGCCAGTAGGTCCCAAAGCTCCGGCGGTTCTTCGTTCTCGTGTTCCCCGGTGTCGGGAATGCATATAGCCCAGGCTGCTACCTCTCGAGCGGGAAGTCGACGAACCTGATCATCCCGGACAGTGGTCTTCCTGATGCCCTGGAGGTCAACCCACTGCCCTAGCTTCTGGAACCGAAGAGTGAGTTTGTCCCAATCAATGGTGATGGGTCCTAAGAGCCGCAACCACTAAATTCCGAGGACAACATCCAAACCTTGGATCGGCAGCTCGTAGAGGTCGACTTCAAGAGCCTCGCCCTGGAGGGTGATGGTGACTGACTCATAGCAGTGCTCGCTTGTGAGAGTTTCACCATTGGCGACCTTCACATGGAACGGTGGAATAGGAGTGGCGGCGAGAGCCAAGGTTTTCGCTACCTCTCGATTTATGAAATTATGCGACAAACCGTTGTCCACCAACGCGACGATATTCACCGAGGCAACCTGCACACAAAATCGGAGCGTAGCTGGGTGGGGGACTCTTGTTAGGGCAAAGATGGTTATTGTGGCGTCGGGGCCGGGATTCCTTGTCCGATGCAGGCGGCGGATCACAACCATCGACATGGGTGCCAACAATGGATACAACAGCAAGGATTGAGGTCATGACCTCCAGCAATCCCTGGTGGACATCTTCCGTCGTCGATCCTGAAAGCTGCAGGGAGCTTAGTGCTTTTGAACCAGACTCTGATAACAAATGATGCATTGTCATTGTAGCCCAAGAGCGATAAAAGTAAATATAACACAATTAATTGGGGGGTTTCTTCTTCAAACCGATCTTATTCCTCCAACCGAATATATATGAGAGTCTTAATACAGCAACTTGTGAAGCAAGCAACATTACCTAGCCGACAAAACAATCAGAAATAATCTCAAATATAATAATAGAAAAATATCAGCCCAGCTAAGCAATGAAGTTCGGATTGGGCTTGACCGCGCGAGCGGATCCACCTACGCGGCTCGAGAGGCTGGACCGTCTTCGGAATAGCCCCGTACGCATCATCCCCAATCCCCGACAAATCTTGAACTCGCGGCAAGAAGAGAATTTGAAAACCGCCGAGAAAAATACCAGCCATTTGAAGGAACATAGCATCTAGAGACAAACTCGAATTAGTACACAATAAATCTTCAAAAAGCCAAAAAATTGAATCGACTATAGTGATACATGGGCATTGATGAGACTTACTCTCATAAATCAGTTGGTCCCAATAACTTGTTAGGAGAAGGTTATGCTGGATCATATATCACACTTTAACACGCCCCCTCAAACGAAAGCCAACCCATGGGCTTGAAGTATGCACAGGCCCACCATACTTTGTGCTTTTTAATCAATTGTTAATATTGATGATCGTGGAGATTGAAACACACGACTACTTGGCCAAACTAGCTCTGATACCATGTCATAAACCAGTTGGTCCCAATAACTCGAATTATTAAGAAAAAGTTATGTTGAATCATATACTATACTCTAACACTTACCACGGACAATAACGTCAACCCTCAACAAAAATCAATTAAAACTCAGCAAGAAGAAAAGTTAAAACCACCGATAAAAATACCACCCGTGAGAAGAAAAATAGCATATGGAGCCAAAACTGAAGCAACACACCAAAACATAAAACTGAATACAAATTCAATACCAATACACAGATAGCTCATCCACATCCCTCCACAAAAGAAAGAAAAGAAACAAGGTAAAAGATCACCGGTAGTAGTCGGCCTGCTTAAATCATCATATATTTCATCATCATGCCCATGAAATGTAGAATGGCACTGATCGCTCTCAGTCATGTGTTCTTGCTCTGCTTGGTGAGCGTGACAAAGGGAGGAACCTACTACTGCGACGGCCACGTTGACGGCGACAAGTACAGGAAGGCGGTGAAGGACATTGTGGATGATATGGCCGACGAGACGCCGAAACGTCCCGATTTCGCTTACTACGAGGCTGGCGGTCGTGTTTCAGGCAGTTCGCGATGCGGTGGCAGTCCCGGCCTGACAACCGACCAAAAGGCGTGCCATAACTGTTTGGAGCGCCTACAGACGGAGCTCACTTCTTCAGCTTGTCTCAGTAGCCAAACCGCCAGCGCTTCCGAGGATTCAGCTTGCAGCATGTCTTTCTGGAAAATCTAGCAAGCAATTTTATGTGTATGGTTTGCGTAGTGTGCCCTTTCTTGCTATAACTAGCTACTACATGCAAGTGGTTTATGAGATGTTGTGAAATTATGCTCCAGAGAGTTTAAAATAAAAGAATAAGAAACACAGCTCTTTTTTTTTTTTTTTCTCTTCACGAAATTACTATGGTCACATTCAAACTCTTTTAGATATTATCGGTTTTGGCCTACTCCTCACTGTTGTGCCTTTTGAGTGTATATTATGGTGATTTTTTGGGAGGTTGCTTATCTTTGAACTTGAGTGTATGTTTAACTACGAAGTGTTCTCTATTTTAACTCAAAACGCGTCTTGTCAGTTAAGATTGGATGTTCCTTACGAATCATGAATGTTTCTCGTGTTTTGTTGATGTAGAATTTGCCTTACATACGCTCCCTTTGAGACTCAACGTCCTCATTGAGGTTTACCCACCATCGCCCAAAAGGGACGCGACCGAGAGGCTTGGATACCAATTGCAACATCCCAACCTTTTTCCTAATTAAACAATATATTGTCCACTTTAGCCCTACCCTCGCATAGTTTTGCTTTTGGGATGAATCATGATGACTTCCCGGGAGGTCACCCAATTACACTGCTCCATATTGTAGGATAATCAAGATAATACATAGTTTTAACATGTGTGTGGTCCTTGTTAAAGCAGCTCCAACACTTAGCGAAGGTGAAAATAAGTGAGGTTTAATTTGGGAGGATTGCTAATTGTCGCACTAAGTTTTACTATAATCACTCTAATTTAAGTTAGGATATTTCTTTATTTTTATCTCTTTTTTATTCTTAGTAGATACTTTATTCTAAAAAATAAAAATCGTCCAACAAAGGGCAAAAACTTACCATAAGGATGCAGGAGGTCGATCGTAGTTGTGTGGAGGGTGTTGCCAGTGAATGAAGAATGTGAAGAAGGTCGCAACGGGGATGTTTGGAGTAGAGGATGATTGGGGATTTCACGGGTTTGTTTGTTTGCTTCATTGAATTTGGTTTAATTAATGTAGGGGGGGGGGGGGGGGGGGGGGGGAAGCATGGGTAATAGTTGCTCTTCACTCGACTGAAGAATGTGACTCAAGTTTTTCAAAAAAAAAATCCACAATACCACAGTTAATATAAAAATTTCTCACGATACCACACTAACACTAATATTTTCCAAAACACTATTTATTGGAGTTGTTTGCTTGACACTTGAGCAATCTATGCAATGGTTCACGACATACATAAGCGAACTACTTTGTTCATAGAACGCACCAGCGAATTTGTTAACATGCATGATTCACAGCTAAGTTCTACGATTCAAGTTAATCACATAAGAGAAAAGCTATGTATTGTGAATCTCTTTATTAGCCAGCGAACCAATTTGTTCGCTTGTTTGAGAAGCAAACAATTTGTAGGGTTTGTAGTTGTTCGCTTGTGTCAGAAGCGAAGTGTTTGGAGTTTCAGAGTTGTTTGCTTCACAGTCAACCCAGCATATATTTTCATTTTATAAAAAATTAAACAACTCTAGGAAATAAACATAAAAACAACTCTAGAAAATACAACAATCTCTCATGTCACTCATCTCCCTCAACATTAGCCCCTCATGCACCACAACCTCGTCCAACCATTTGTTTATGTGCCTATCACGAAGTCAATGTGCAATCAGAGTAGAGGCTCAAAGTGGAAATAGTAGTGGTGTTTCAGTGAAGCAGATATTTCTCGTCAGGTGATGGAAGGTTGGCTGAGGGTTTTGTAAGTATTTAATTTTGGAAATTATTAAATGATGCCTTGCTGGCAATGACCGAAAGAGGCTTGGGAGGCCCGGGTCCGGATCCCCTCAGTAACCAACATATCAGTAACCATCAGTAACCTCTCTATCAACCGTCCATTGCATTTAATTTGTAACCGTCAGATCAAGCAAAAGTAACTACACGGGGGGGCAAAATAGTAATCTTTCCATCTGACAATTTGAAAAGCAGACGTGACATTAAACCGTGCCCGCCTTCTTTCCTTCTTTCTCTAACCTTTCACGCGACAGTTGCACTTCCCTCTGCTCTCTAACTCTCCATTCTTCATCCAATCGCGCACCAAAAACTTCAGAAAACAAAGAATCATTCAACAATTTTCGCAAAGGTTTTCGAAGAATCATTCAACGATTCACTGTTCTCGCTTCTTCGTTGAAAAACGAAGGGTTTCCAACTTCAACGAGGCTCAAAAATCGTTTTCGCACAAAATATCAAGGTAAAACCTCACTTCTTTCTTCGAAATCCATTCATAGAACAATAGAAACAGTATTTCAGTCACTCTTCATGTGAAAATTGTAGTAAAACTCGCTACATTACCGAATCGTTAGCATGCGTTGCTGAACTGGTGTAGAATCTGTTGTGTTTTGCTTCGTTACCACATGGTATGGCGTGGTAAGCTATGATTGCACGTTATAAAAAGGCAAGAAACCGTAACTCCTTCTGTGTTTTAGTTTGTTACCATATGGTAATGTGTAGTAAGCTATTGTTTCATGTTGTAAAATAGCAAAAAACCATAAGTTCTTCTGTGTTTTAGTTTGTTACCATATGGTAATGTGTGGTAAGCTATGGTTTCATGTTGTAAAATAGCAAAAAACCATAAGTTCTTCTGTGTTTTAGTTTGTTACCATATGGTAATGTGTGGTAAGCTATGGTTTCATGTTGTAAAATAGCAAAAAACCATAAGTTCTTCTGTGTTTTAGTTTGTTACCATATGGTAATGTGTGGTAAGCTATGGTTTCATGTTGTAAAATAGCAAAAAACCATAAGTACTTCTGTGTTTTAGTTTGTTACCATATGGTAATGTGTGGTAAGATATGGTTTCATGTTGTAAAATAGCAAAAAACCATAAGTCCTCCTGTGTTTTAGTTAGTTACCATATGGTAATGTGTGGTAAGCTATGGTTTCATGTTGTAAAATAGGAAAAAAACATAAGTCCTTCTGTGTTTTAGTTCGTTACCATATGGTAATGTGTGGTAAGCTATGGTTTCATGTTGTAAAATAGCAAAAAAACATAAGTCCTTCTGTGTTTTAGTTCATTACCATATGGTAATGTGTGGTAAGCTATGGTTTCATGTTGTAAAAATGGAGGAAAACATAAGTCCTGTTGTGTTTTACTTCGTTACCATATGGTAAGATCTTATAAGACATGGTTTGATGTAATTACCATATGGTAAAATGTGATAAATATATGGTTTGATTACGTATTGTAGGAAACCATTATGGTACCATATAGTATATTATGGTAAAAAGCATACTAACAGACTATTACTAATTTCTACATTCAGGTACACTATGGTAAAACCAAGACAAAGTTTTCACACAAGGTGCAGCCCAACAAGAATATCTGCAATTGCAAGGTCAATAACAGATGAGCGGAAAGAGCAACTTGAGATGTTAGGCCTATCAGGCTTAATATCAATCAGGCAGACAAAGATAAACAATCATTTTGCTCTGTTCGTAATGAACAAATACAATCCAATGAAAGAATCGTTCAAGTTACCTGACGGGACACGCATGAAGATATCACCAATCGACTTTCATAGAGTATATGGTCTGCCGATGGGGAATAGGGAAGTTGTACCTCCCACGATTTCTTGGGATGACGCAGCAGATTATGCAATAGAAACCCTACTCGAAGTAGATGGAACATCCACTCCAAGGGTAAAGCTAAGTCAGGTAGAAAAAGATCTTCCTACAACCACACACAGTAAGAGATGGATGCAATTGTTCTTTCTGCTGGTCACCGGAGGCTTGCTGTGTCCAACTTCAGCACCTATGGCTGAACTCAACATGCTTGAGTACTTGAAGACTGAAGAACTGAAACATTTCACCAGCTACAACTGGTGCAAATACTTCTTCAAACACATGAATGAAGGATTGAAATCACCAAACCTCTATGTCAGTGCAGATCTTCACTTCCTTACAGTGAGTCTCCCATTCCCTTGGCCATTTCAACCTTGTTACTCATATATTTTACATATAAATGATAATCTTTGAAAAAACTAATACAACTATCTGCATAAATAAGGTATGCTTCATGTACAAACTGGATGAAATGGCATTCTCAACCCAGCTTCGAACACCAATAGTAAGCTACTATGATGATCTCAATGTCGAAACAAACTTTGAGAACATTAAGAGCTACTACAATGGAAAATAGTTGGCCGAGATCGAAAAGGTTGCCAACATTAATGATGATGAGGCTGATGATGCAACTGATGAGGAAGAGGAGAATGAGCCAGTCTATCAGTCACCAAAAAAACAAAGAAACAAAACTCCAGACCATTCATCATCACTGAACTTTGATTTGAAGAATATCAGAACAGTCAACCAAGTACGTACATATTATCTATATTACAGTTGTCCAAATACATGCTAACCGTAATTCCTTCTGTGTTTTAGTTGGTTACCATATGGTAAGGTGTGGTAAGCTATGGTTTCATATTATAAAAATAGAGGAAACCATAAATCCTGTTGTGTTTTAGTTTGTTACCATATGGTAATGTGTGGTAAGCTATGATTTCATGTTATAAAAATCGAGGAAAACATAAGTCCTGTTGTGTTTTACTTCGTTACCATATGGTAATGTGTGGTAAGCTATGGTTTCATGTTATAAAAATGGAGGAAACCATAATTCTTGTTCTGTTTTACTTTGTTACCATGTGGTAAGATATGGTTTCATGTTATGAAAATGGAGAATTGTGATAATAATTACAAATACCATGTATTACCACCATGGTAACTAACCCATACACCATACACACATTACCACCATGATATCTTACAAAACTCCCATTATGCAGGCTGAGAATGCAATCAAACTGCTTGAAGCATCAATGAAGGCAATGATGAAAGCAATCAAAGACCAGTACAACAGCCAAATTGAGAATCTGATCAGACACAAGGAGAAACTTGAGAAAGAAAGCTGTGATGAATATGTTCAGCCCACAGAAGGAGAAAAATCTCAGTGTGAAGATGATGAAGAAATGAATGCCAGTTTGGATAAAACAATCAATCAAATATTCAAACAGGCAAAGATAGACAAGAACAAAGAGGAGAACGAGGAGCAAACACAGAAAGAAGATGATTCACAACCATCTACAGTCGATCTTGCTGCATCTACACCAAAGGAGCAAGATGATTCTGCTCCAGCAGCTGTGAATAAGGAAAGCATCCAAGAAGGAGATCCACTAGGGAAAGTTGCAACAGAACCACCAACTGTTCAAGAAGATCTGAATCAGGGAACACCACAACAAGAGAACACCCCGAAAGCAGTTCCAGAACAGACATCTGCAAAAGAAACAGAAGAAAAAGGAGCTACAAAAACAGCAGATCCAATGGATGTTGATAAGGAAACAACAGAAGAAGGGAATACAGGGCAAGCTGCACAAAAGACTGCAGAAACTGACAGCGAGAAAACGGTGTCAGATGATGTTGTTCGAAAAGAGACTCCAAAATTGACAACCAAAGCTGCTGAGAAGCCTAAAGTGACAAGGGAAGATGACATTCCATCCTTCGATCTCAGCCCTCTCAAAGATCAAACACCAACAACACCAACAAAGTTGACTACCACCACTGCAACCAATCAACCAGGAGAGCCTCGCAAAAGAAGAGTTGTGGTGAAGAATTTGAA